AACCCCAGGCACTGGTGCAGAGACTGGGTAAGAGAATGCCTTATCTTATTCCGAACATGTCAGAACATGGCTTCCTCTATATTCAAATCAGAACATGCCACTTTCATGTCGCATTACAGCGGGCAGTCAGGATCCAGTGGATTGAGTCTTTCCTCATCTTCCACTCTAATGGAGATCCTGGAAGCCATTAAGCATCCCACGTGAGAGTCTTTGAATCCTTAATTATTTATTAGTGTTCTATTATGTCACCCATGTGTGATATAAATGGACTTCCTGTGCTTGCAGCACTGGAGTGCAGCTTTTGCCAGAGCAGAGGGGCCTGCCTCCCAACTGCTTTGTCAGTGCTGAGGTTGTACATTGGCTGGTCAGCACTGTGGAGAATGTTGCCACACAAGGCATTGCAGTAGAAATCATGCAGGTAAAATTGAGAACATTGCAAAAATCATAGTAGTCTGTGTTTGTATTTAAAAATTTTACCATCTCGATGATGCTTCTGTAGAAAATGCTGGATGAAGGTCTAATTACGCATGCCTCTGGTGATGCCATGCGAACGTTTGTCTATGGGTTCTACCTTTACCGGATTGTCGACAAAGACAATGAGAAGGGTAAGAATCGACTTGATTGTCAAGATTACTTAGCTAGGGGTTGCCAAGTTTCTGTAGGTTGCTGCTTGCCATTTCTACTGCATCTAACTGTATCAAGGGAGATTCACAGCCAGTGATTTGCAAAGCAACTGGACTTCATTCATTTTCAATGAGAAGTTGCAATATCCGGAGTACACAAGTCAGTGATCCACAGGGATAGCATAGTGATCTCCAACCTCATATAGTTGGATGCCGCAGCAGAGTAGAAACCAACAGCACAGCGATACTACAAGCTCCAGTAATTTTAACTGATATCAGTGTTCAGGTTGTAGATCCCGTGAGCATCACTGTCTGCAATCCCATTGTTGGCACGACTGTGTCTTGGTGCTTCTACCCTTCATGAAAACAGACATCTATTCCCTGCAGCCCCTACGACTCAGCTGCCCCCAGCAGGAGCCAATGTATGGTCTGCCGCAGCTTTGGAGGACTTTGCCCTGTTCCAGAGGAAGTGGTTTGAGGTGGCCTTTGTTATGGAGGAACGTCGGCCCTGTGACTTACCTGCCTTCCTCCTGCCCTGGTTGCCCAGCCGGCCAGCCTCGTATGCAAGTAGGCATAGCTCCTTCAGCCGCAGCTTCGGAGGACGCAGCCAAGCTGCTGCACTGCTAGGTACACACAGCCGGCTCTGATCCCAGAGCAGCCATGGTCCGCACCTTAAGGCAGTATGCCATACTCCCTCCCCCGAAAGTTCTGGAAGGCTAGTTTGGTGAATGAGTCGCGCAAAGTCAAATAATTTCTTCTCATTTTACTAAAGCCTTCAGATATCATCTATGCCATCTACTAGTCAACCCAACATCAATGCGCAATTGGAAACTTCTGCAACTCAACTAACATATAAAGACTGACATTGCAACAACATATTCTTCTCAGGAAACACCGCTTTTGATTCAACCACTTCCATCTAGATATTGTACTCATGCAAATCTAATCATCTGGCTTTGTGTGACTCTTCTCCATTTTGGCACTGCATGCTGTTGTAGAAAAGTGGTACACCTTTAGTTCATCCTGTTCATTCCCGCAATGCCCAAATCATGTTGATGACACCTTGATTCCCTTTCTGACTGATTGATGTAGACAGTGTTTGTAATACTGCAATTATAACAATCCCAATTAGCCATCAATTGGTGTCACAGTACATGCACTCTCCAAATAGCATGGTTACATGTATTCTATCCAATCAGGGCACAAATTGCTTTGCAAGCTGTTAAAATCAGAGCATGGACTGATGCCCCAATACACCAATCAATCCGCTGTGTTGGGTGGGCCTCAATGATGCTTTGTACACCAGTAGTGCATGTGGTAAAGTAGTGGCTGTGGTCCAGTAGTGCTGTGGTATGGGTTCTTCCTGCTCTCCTCCATCTGTCCTGTTCCCGCTGGATGAGTGATGTTCCTGCATTGTTCCCAAACCTGAGCAAAGCTTTTCTGCCAATCCATTGCCTTTCTGACTTTGCTTACTGTGCTAGTGCACTCAGCTTTCAGTGTTTTCCTGCCAAAGAAGCTTCATACGTCCTACTTGCCTTTAATACAATGCATGATGAAAAATCGCCCCAGATCTCAGAATTGTTAGTTCATTCTCAATTTTCGTTACAGATGTCATGAGCACTAATTGCCATAAACTCTTTTATCGCAATTACTCTCCATTGACCCATTAAAGGTCTTAATAACTCTATTCCTGACCTCTGTCATTTCATCCTTTTGGCAATTTCTACTCTCTCTCTGTCTTTCTCGCTCTGTTTTTGCCCCTCCCCTCAGCTGCCACGGTTCCAGAGCAGAAAACAGTCACCTTGGACGTTGATGTGAACAATCGCAGTGATCGGACTGAATGGTGCAGTTGCTATTACCATGGCAACTTCTCCCTCAACGCTGCTTTTGAAATCAAGCTGCACTGGATGGCTGTTACTGCAGCCGTACTCTTTGAAATGGTAAGCATAGGATGAGCAGATTGAGGTGACGAGGTGTTTATAGTGTCGAGGACTATCAAGCATAGCCAACCAGATGCATGTAGTTAACTACTATCAACTAAGGGCGCAAACATAACATCTAAGGTTGAGACATAGTCCTAAAGCACTGGACTCTTTTTTCAGGTGCAAGGCTGGCACAGAAAGGCAGCATCTTGTGGATTCCTGCTTGTACCTGTATTGGAGGTGCCCTTTGCTTTGTCATCGTACCTATATGGTGACCCTCTCCGTGCTCAATTGTTTATCCCCCTAAATATCCAGTGCCTGCTAAAGGAGGGCTGTGATAACCTGTTTGAGGGTGAGGACAGAAAAAGTAACGGATTGAATGGTGTGATAGTTGTAGAAGTCCATAAATATTCGTGAATACATTGTCTCTGTTTGGTGTTTACACATTGCTAAGCTAACACTGTGATATCCTAGATACTCAGTGCAAAAATATTAGGTAAATAGTCTGTTTTGGTATTTAATGACTTTTGAATATATTTATGATAGTGCTTTCAAACGATTAATCGCATCCAAAATAAAAGTTTTTGTTTACATAGTATATGTGTGTGTACTGTGTATATTTATTATGTATATATAAATACACACACATACAGTATATACTTTGAAAATATTTACATGTATATATTTATATTCATAAAATTTGAATTACATATAAATATATTTAACATATAAACGTAACATTTTTCTTAAATATATACATGCATGGGTGTGTATTTATATATACACAGTACACAAACATATTCTATGTAAACAAAAACTTTTATTTTGGATGCGATTATTCGTTTGACAGCACTAATTTATGATCAACATTTCTTTCCTTCATCCACCATCTTGGATGGGTTCTTTCATAGAATTTGTCTCAATATCTTAGAACTGCCTTTGTCATTTTATGTTAAGCAAAATTTGATATCCTCCATTACGGCACTGCTGTACTCGTTTAGGGTTTGAGCCAGAGACATACTGGGAAAGAATGCAGTTGTTTCAGGAGGCCATACTCTCCAGGTAAAGAGAGCGTAGAATAATTATTTCTCATTGAGTGCATCTAGTTTATTTCTAGTTAAATCTATTTATCAAGGTGTAATGGTCCTGTGTTTTTCCTCATTAAAACAACTTCCTTCCTTCTTTGAAGATTTGGCTTCGTTCAGGACAAATTCTCAGCATCAGCTTTTAACTTTCCATCAGAGAACAAACCTCAATACATCCATGTAACAGGTACATGCTTTTATGAATTATATAAACTATACTAGCACTACTTTTTTACTTACTTGCTCTATCACTATCACTTGGGAATGTTCATCTCTTTATCCAGGTACAGTTTTTTTTCAGCTGCCTTACTCAAAAAGGAAATACTCTAGTGGACAGCGGCGGCGCCGTAACTCCGCTACCTCCACCAATCAGAGCCTGTTTGGTTCTGAGGAGCGAGTGGGCTACAATTGGGCCTACAACACCATGCTGACCAAAGCCTGGAGGACTGGCGTGCTGGGGGACGAGAAACTGGCCGACCGCCTGCTGCGAGATTTCACAGACTTTTGTGCCAACAAGGATAATCGACTGGTGACCTTCTGGGAAAGCTGTGTTGAGAAAATGAACGCCAGTGCCCCTTGAGTTAAAAGACAGTGGAGGAAAGGCAATACTGTGTCAGAGAAAACAGAGACTGTTTGCCTCTGTTTTAAGAGCTAATGTACTGCTGCTATCATCTAATCAGAGAGAAATAAAGCCAACAAGCCTCATCATCAAACACTCAAATGGATGTCATATGTTTTCAGAGTGTCTGCACATGCGCCTGCAATGTCCTGAAGCCATCACAGTTTTGACTGGGTTTGAGTGTACATAATGGTACATAATCGGATCAATTTGTTCATTATCGCTAAGCCTCGTTTTAAAAACATTACAAAACAGTTTAGCAGTTTTTTATTTTTTAAATCATTAAATTTTTTTAATGCTTGGCCCCAATGATATACATTTGCAATAGCCTGGCCCATGTTCATATGTGGATAAAATGTTTTAAATATCGTGAGAATTAATAGCAAAGATGTTGATCAGGAGTTATAAGATCGCTTATGTTTATGGTTATTCATGGTCTTGCACCTTTGCATTTTGGTTACCAAAGACAAATCGGTAGTTAGGAACATACAAAGAATTCTTCAACAAAATTAAAGATCTGTTAGATACAACTTTATTTACATTATCCCCAAGGTCAGGTTGATTCAATTAAGCCCCATTGTTATAATGCAGTAACTGCATGTCTTCAGCAGTAGCACCGCAGGAACATCAGCCAGTGCCAGGAATAAACACTTGACCTTTGTTCGCACTGAACAGAGTCCAGTCCACGCATTTTGTCTGTACATTCATTGTTAAGGAGGCATGTTCATGCATCCCATTGGAAAGACAGAAGCATCGCTTCATTTGAATGCGGAAGAGTTGCTTATCGCGCGCATGCGCGCTGTGCCGTTGCATTGAACAATGCAGCAAACCTCACTGCGCAGGTGCGCGGCTGCAGGGCATGCGGCTATTTTTAGAAAATGACGTCATCGTGAAATACAGCGAGTGCGCGCGCCCACCTCCATCTCCCCCTCCACCCTGTTCGCTGGGATTGACAGGACGCTTGCGGCACCAGCAGCACCCCGAAAGACGAAAGAAAAAAAAGAAGCGGGCGAAACTTGGAGGATATAGAGGGCTGGGAGGGGAAATAAAGCGTTACAAAAATATATAGACATACAGAAAAATACAAACCTGCACCTTCAACCTTTGGCTCGCCGTTCCACCCTCACGTGCGCGGCTGCTCCAGGTTCTGCTCGCGCGCTCTCTCACAGCCGAGTGTGTTCTGCTGAGAAACGACCGAGCCCGGTGCGAACCGACAGCCTTTGACCAGAGAGGATGGCTGATAGGGAACAACTGATCCAAAGAGCCCGTCTGGCGGAGCAGGCGGAGCGCTACGATGATATGGCCTCCGCGATGAAGCTGGTGGGTCATTATTATTAATATAACGTTACATGCATTCATGCACAATTAGTCTATAATGAGACGATTGCGATGTAAGACAGATTACATGACATGTTTTTTTCCCCTGTTGGATTAATTAAGTAATGTTCAAATGAAGGTGCATTTCTAGTTTATGCAATTGAAGAAGCTTTCGTCTTTGTCGCGAGTAGGACCTCGTGTTATATATAAAATATGCTGTTAAAGGGACAGTCCACCTAAAATGGGAATCCTATTATAATTTATTCACCTTTATGTCGCTGCAAACCAGTAAAGATTAGGCACTTTCCTCTCTGAAACACAAAGGGAGATGTTAGGCAGAATGACAGGCTCAGTCTCCATTCACTTTCATTGTATGGAAAACCGATGCAGTGAAAGTGAATGGATACTGTCAGTCACTAATATTTTGCCCAGCCTTTCGTTTTGTTTTCTGTAAAGAAAACAAGTCATGCGGTTGTAAAACGACATGAGGGTTAGGGAAATAATGAAATTATTTACATTTGTCAATAAATATTTCCTTAAAACGTTGGAAAACAATAAATATGCATTTTAAACATTAGGATATATTATAATAGGTAATCAACTGGCAAAAACAGCACGGATGTCGAAACAAAAAGCTAATAAATTGTAGGTTTCGGTTCGGTATCGTGCATATCAATCGTTACAGTGGATGAACATGGGCGGCGCTATGACACCCTCATCCACATCCATTGTGCATCTGTGTCTCTGAGAAAATAGAGTAAAAAACAACAATAGAGCTGCGTTTTAAATTATGATATAGTCAAGTAAAACTTGATTTTAATTGAATTGTAATCATGTGAAATAAAGCGCAATATGTGACCCAGCAGTGCAGCATCAGCTGTCTAGTTTGACATCCGAGCACAAAGGATGAAAGTCTGTCAGTCAGCGTGGGTCAAATAGGACACAGCTGATTTCTACAGTATTTTTTATCCTTTTTTTCATTGATTTAAGCAACATCACCCTAATCACCTAATCATTTTAGTTTGATTTGATTAGATATTGTCATGAATGCCACGTTGAATGTTTGACATTGACATTTTCAATGAAGGGTTCCTACGATAATGTAAAACCTGGAAATATCAAGGAATTTTAAAATGGTGGCTTTCAGACCTGGAAAAGTCAATGAAGTCTAAAATGTCATGGTAGTCATGGCAAAAAAAAACATTTAATTGACTAAATATTGCAGTTTGAGAGTAAAACCCCTCACAATTATTTGTGACAATCACACTAATCATAAATGACAAGATGTTAATGTGATTTGATATAATCATAACTTTTTAAGTTTCTCATTGACATTGCATTAGGACTGCACAATATATCAGTGGTTATATACGCAAACTTTTTCATTTATCAGTCTAAATCTACCTATTTGGGCTATAAATAACATCAGGGATTTTTCCAGTTCAAACAAACATTTTATATTCCATGATGAAAAGAAAACAGTTCTTATAGGCTATTCCAGTTTAATGCAGGTAAATGAGCTGTGCTCTAAAATTAGACTTTTTACGCAATATTTACTAAATGTTTGAAAACACAATTTATGCATTATTCTTTAACCAAGAGTCTGGATAGATTTTTTGTGGGGACACCATTGTACAGCACCGTAATGTTCGAATTTCAAACAAATATATGCAAACATAAAGCATTGTAATTGCGTTTACTGACCCAACATCTGGTCTTCTGCACCATCAGGTCACAGAACTGAATGAGCCGTTGTCCAACGAAGACCGCAACCTGCTCTCTGTGGCCTACAAGAACGTTGTTGGGGCCCGGCGGTCATCTTGGCGAGTCGTTTCTAGCATAGAGCAGAAGACGGCGGCGGATGGCAACGAGAAGAAATTGGAACTGGTGCGTGTTTACCGAGAGACCATCGAGAAGGAGCTGGAGTCAGTGTGCCAAGACGTTCTCACCCTGCTGGACCAGTACCTCATCAAGAACTGTGACGAAACCCAGCTGGAGAGCAAGGTCTTCTACCTGAAGATGAAGGGCGACTACTACCGGTACCTGGCCGAGGTGGCCACCGGCGAAAAGAGGGCCTCTGCCGTCGAATCGTCCGAAGGCGCCTACAAAGAGGCTTTCGATATTAGCAAGAGCATGCCGGCCACCCATCCCATCCGCCTCGGCCTGGCACTCAACTTTTCCGTCTTCTACTACGAGATCCAAAACGCGCCCGAGCAGGCCTGCCAGCTTGCCAAGGAAGCCTTCGATGATGCCATCGGCCACCTGGACAATCTGAACGAGGACTCCTATAAGGACTCCACGCTCATCATGCAGCTCCTGCGGGACAACCTCACCCTGTGGACGAGTGACCAGCAGGACAGCGAAGGAGGAGATGCCAATAACTGAGAGATCAGCTACTACTAGCTGTAGTAGCACCCGTCTATCCCTTCTACACTGTCTTCTTTGAACCTGTATCTTATTTCTCTCTGTCTGCTCCTTCATTCTTCCTCTCTCTCCTCCATTCCATCTTTCCTGTCTCTTTGTGACACCTCAATGCTCTTCTTTGGTTCCTCAGGGCAGCACTTCAGACCCTTTATTGCTCTCTCACCTCTTTTTACCCCTTTTCCACCAACAGGATGCCGGTACCCAAACTGGAACCGTTCCACTGCAGAAAAGGCGGTTCTGGGATGGAAAAATGCTGTTAGCTTCTAAAATCTGCTTGTTTCAAACCTGGATAATGTCACTTGTCCAAGTTTTCAAAACTAATGCAAATGTAAAACCAAACAACGCCCCTTCCATTATAATATATAAAGCATTCAGTTGACGCATGTTGTCATTTTTTCCCTTATACATCACCTGTGATGTACTTTGGATGTTAAAATGCATTGCAATTCGAAAAATTCATAAGTAAAAATAAACTTTAATAAAAATTAAATGATTTACGAATATCAGACATGCAAATTGACTGCTAGCATACAGTAAATATGACAGCATAAATACAATGATTCAGATTGCTTTGGATGTTTGAATGTACTCTTAAAAACAAATAAATGAAATGATTTTAAAATATATATACACAAATAGTTATGTATTATTTGTGATATAAAGACACTATCTGACATTCATTTGGATCATTTATAGCATATAAAATATTTTATGTTAAATATTTGTCTTGATGGCACTGATTCAGATGATTTTAAATGCTAATATATGTTCTCAAAACTTGTCATAAAATAATAGTAAACAAGTTACATCATTGTTCACCCTTTAAGCCAGTTCTGACACCATTTTGGTGAAAAAGGGGGTATTTATCCACTTGTTTTCTCTGTTTTCCAACCTATTCCTCTCTTCCTGTTCTTGACCTCTTTTTCTGTATACGATTCTCTCCTTTCTCCCAGCAACGAGTCGCAGGTAGCCTGCTGGTCTCCACGTGACATTTACTTAGTGTGTACTTGTAAGGACTCGATCTTCGTAGAAACTCTGTAACACTTATTACAGGATGAGATCTTACACCTTATTACGTTCTTCTTCTTCTTCTTCCCTTGTCTTTGGTCTGTACCTCCATCACTGCTTAGATGTGTTTGTCTGTCGTTCCCCCAAGCTCACCTTGCTAGCCCTGTGAATTGTGTATATCTGCTGATCTCACAACAGTATGCGGTCATCAAAAATGTGCGCTGCACTCTGTTATGAGACGTGGTGATCAAAAGTCTTTTGATTAGGATTACATATGCAAGGTTATGTAAGAATGACATTAAAGACATTGCTTACCATGGGAACTCTCAAAATGCAGTCTATTACTGGCACTTTATTGTGGTCTCACAAATGTATTATTAAATTATACTTTAAACTATTTTATTCAATTTCACACACAGATTATAAATAATAGTTTTCTTGCTTGTAGTCAACATGAATCTGCCTTCACAACACAAACACATGATAGTTTGTAGCCATTTTTAGTTTTGGCAAAGTGGTGGCAAATTTGTACAATCTTACATAGACTAAAAGATGTCAGGATGGTACAACTGTCCTGATATAATAATTTATAATAGTTTTCTTGCTTGTAGTCAACATGAATCTGCCTTCACAACACAAACACATGATAGTTTGTAGCCATTTTTAGTTTTGGCAAAGTGGTGGCAAATTTGTACAATCTTACATAGACTAAAAGATGTCAGGATGGTACAACTGTCCTGATATAATAAATAATTTTAAAAAAAAGCCTTGATGAGAAAGCCCATGCATTTTGACATTTTTTATTACTATTTCTTGGACTAGACATATTTTAACAAAACGTATTTGTTTGAAAACTTTTGTCATGTGGTCCAACCAACAAGCATAAAAAAAAACAGTAAATTACATAATAGAGAAGATCACTATAGACCCTCATGTGTGTCAAGAGCAATAAGTCTTTTAAAATAGATAAGTGGACCTTGCAAGGTTAGTTCAGGATGTAAAATGTCATGTGGTGTGCCTCCTCAAAATGTAATGAATTAATAATTCATGATATTTTATATTGAAAAATACATTTAATTAAAAAAAATGATTAAGACGTGTCCACTCACATGTATTCGAGATGTAAGGGAATTTGGTACTTTATTTGATGGTTACACCACATGACATAAAACGGTATAAAAGTTTTTCAGAACTACATGAAACCAACACATTCATTATTCATATAGCTTGTGCGGCCTACGTGACATCATCTGCGTATAAAAGTTGTTTCAGGACACTGCTTGTTGATGGAAGATTGCTATTAATCTTTTTTCTCAATATTGTGCACTGATAATAAGACCAAGATGTGCATTAAGAACACAAAAGTCACTTCTGATTAATAATATCTTGGCTCAATTTCTGAAAAACCCATAGTCACCAGCACTTTGGTCAATGTAATCTTGCTCTTTTTGATTATGTAAATGTTTTGGCACAGATGCCTTTAACCGTAGTGATATGCAGGAGTTACATTGTATGATCGATTTATAATAGTATAGTTAAGTGAATAAGATGAAGGCCGTGCAGAAGGTCAAGTGTTTATGACTATAAGACCTTATCATCTTAAAGATAAATGTTCATGGCCCTGATGAGATATGACTTTCGGGTATTTCAGAGGGATTGTTGAGTTGATAAAGCCAAAGTTGTCTTTCTCAACCACACCTTGTGTGATCGAGTTTTTTTTTATCTGATCTGTTTATGATCTGTTTTTTTTTTTACTTAAATCTGTGCACCTTTAAAATTAATCCATCGATGTCTGGACTAAAAGAGAGTAGACTATAAAAATAGGGCGGTTTCCCTGTTAGATTTCATAGACATTGAGGATTGGATGCTGAGCAAGAGGCATCATGATATAACCAACAAGACATGCATGCATCTACTATCTGAACCTGAAAATGTTTAAGTCATGATTGGTTAATGATTGATCCTTCAGCCACAGTGTGTTGTAGCAGGTCTCTAAAGAAGAATGCAGTTATCACCTGAACTAAAAGATAGTGGCAACAATTCAGGCAGTTTCCTTTTCCATTCAGGCAGGTAATGTAACCAAGAATGACGTTCCAAAAATCTCAATGGGTATTGCTCTGTTTTAGTCTAGTAAAGATCATTTCAGAATTCAGATCTAAGGTGTTGTGTTCTGTGAATCATTGTGATACTGAGTATGGTCGCTAGAGGGCAGTAAAAGACCTAATAAGAGACCTAGAGGGGGTGAGGAAGAAATGGAGTGGCTGATGATGGTAATGTTTACTGATGCTTCCTACATTAAAGACAACCGTTTGGAGTTAGCTTTTGTTTTTATTCTTTTTTTTCATATTACAACATCACAGGTGTGAAAGACCAGTGCTGAAACCAGGGGGTTTCATGACACTTTAAGCCTATCCTGCAGTCAAAATCATGCCTACACTGGCTAAAAGTGCTACAAATCCACTGTTTCCAATATATGTAGAGGATAAAGGCAAAGGATTTGTAAAAGTTACACTGTTGTGTGGCCAAAAGGTGAAAAAAGCTAACTTTTCCAGCAAACTTTAAGGGGCCAGGATCTGGCTGATGATCTTGTTAGCTCCTGCTAACATTGCTAGCATATGCTGTAACTAAATCGCTCCACTGATGGACAGTCAAAATTAGCTGTATATTTTACACTGATAGTTATCCCTGTTACGGCTTTAGCCATAATGTGTGTTTGGGCTGCACACTGCTCTCCCACTCATAGTGAAGTAGAGGTGTCCACTCCCAAATGTTCTGTCTTATCAAGATACTGCCATGGAGGTCATTCCTGAGTCTTCTGTCTGTCCATCTATGACCAAAAAAGTCAACCCCGAGTTGTCCTGAAGTGGCCACGGTGGCTGATGGAATCTTCTGTGCACAAAGTTCCCTTAACATGACCATAAAGGTTATCCTCGAGGTTCCAGTTCACCCTGATGTAGCCAAATCCCTTCATAATGGCTACTGAGATTGATCAAGCTACCCTCGTCACGGCCTTGAGGGTAGCCCTTGAATTATCTGCTTATCTTTGTGTTTCCTTAAGTTTGTTGATATGAGCCTTCCAGACATCAAGTTTGCCGACCCTCCAGATGTCCATCTCTCAGTCGGCCCCAAACCAGCCAGAAGTCAGTCTCAAGCCACTTGAGACGTCAACAAGCCAGCCGGTCCTCTAGTCTGTCCGTTGTGCAGTCTCCTCTGTGGACTCTGAGTCAGCTAACGGGATAATTCAGCCTAAAATGAAGGGGGGGGGACAGCATGCCAAATACGCATAAACTTTACTCTTTTTATTATATGTAAATGTGAACTCGTGAACTGTCGTATGCTTGTCACAAGAGAGTGGCGTTCCAGCAGATGACGAAGGACATAGGCATAGCGTAAACTCTGGTGAGAATATGTTAGTTTCACGAGAACCAAGTTTTGCTTACAGCAAAGGAAAACCAGTATCCTAGTGGCTTACGCTGAAACACTTCTGCGTTTGTCACTTCTGCATTCATCGCCGTGCTTGCCTACGTCATCCTCTGGAATGCGTGTATGACAGTTAGCGTTAAGCTAGAGCTATGCTTTATAAAGTTTTAAATATGGATATTTTTCTTACACAAACACATCGATTCAGAAGGCCTTTATTAACCCCCCAGAGCTATGTAGAGCACTTTTTATGATGGATGGATTCACTTTATTTTGTTTCAAAATCTTGACCACCATTCATTGCTATTATAAATCTTGGAAGAGCCAGGACATTTTTTTTTATATAACTTAAACTCTGGTGAGAATATGTTAGTTTCACGAGAACCAAGTTTTGCTTACAGCAAAGGAAAACCAGTATCCTAGTGGCTTACGCTGAAACACTTCTGCGTTTGTCACTTCTGCATTCATCGCCGTGCTTGCCTACGTCATCCTCTGGAATGCGTGTATGACAGTTAGCGTTAAGCTAGAGCTATGCTTTATAAAGTTTTAAATATGGATATTTTTCTTACACAAACACATCGATTCAGAAGGCCTTTATTAACCCCCCAGAGCTATGTAGAGCACTTTTTATGATGGATGGATGCACTTTATTTTGTTTCAAAATCTTGACCACCATTCATTGCTATTATAAAGCTTGGAAGAGCCAGGACATTTTTTTTTATATAACTCCAATTGTATTCGTCTGAAAGTCATATAAAATCATAAACACCTATGATGGCTTGAGGGTGAGTAAATCACGGGGTAATTTTCATTTTTGGGTGAACTATCCCTTTAGTTGACTCTGTGAAACCCAATAATTAAGATGCAGGTGATGTGGCTGCTGAAATGTCCTCTTACTCGAACCCAATCTCACACTTTCTATACACCTGCTATACAAGTTAATCATTAATGATTCTCAATCTCAGATTTTTGACAACTCGGTAAGTCACAAACACACTTTCATAATTAACTCTGAGAAGGTCACACCCATCTCTAGACACACATATAATTGACGGTCAGTCACACACCTGCAGGTGAGCGTCTGATCCAGGTGTCTTCACCGTCGTGTCAGAGAGGGACGCAGTGTGTTGTTCCATTGGCCCTTCAAACATCAGCAAAATGGGTGAAGATTATTTTGGATTCTCTTGGACCCGCAATGAGAACAGAAAAAACGTCACCATATATGTTAACAATCCAGCGGACATCTCAGTGATTGTTATATATTTTCTGGTGGTTCTGGCTGTGGGAATATGGGTAAGTGGTCAGTAATTTCTATCCACCTGTAAAAGATTTTTCTACCATTGACAGACTTGTGAATTGTTAACCTTGCATCAACATATAAATGTAATGTACATATAAATGGCTGTATAAGATAATTCTGAAGACAGAATGATGATGAAAACTGATTTTGCAGAAAGTTAATATATAATATAATATAATAATGTATTTTTGCAAGTTGTTTTGCAAAACAAAAAATGCTCAATTCCTTTAGAAAAACTGATTTTTCAGATATAATAAAATATAATATAATGCATTTTTTGCATTTTGCATTTTTTTAATTAATTGTTCCAATCATGTTTTTTAAAAATATTTTTTCTTATGTAATTAACGATTAATGATACTTCAATCTGTTTGAAACTAAAATAATTTTTAAGAAATTATTTACACATTTTTAGAAATTATTTTACTAAATTATTTCCAAATTAGTCTTATTGCGCGCAGGCATTGACATTTCTGGGATTTCTTGATAACACCATATTTTTCTACCTGTATTTGCCCATCTGAAATCCATATATTTTTAAAAACCTCTTGAGAAAATTCAAACATATTTAATCTAACAACAAACAAAGCCACTGAACACCAATCCATCAACCAAATGTGATGTGTTATTATGTAATGTGTCTGATCCTGTAGCTATGTCATACATAAAGTTACATACAATTTTGTCTAATATTTAATGTATCTAGAACTGTACATAGGCTGAATTTAATGGCTATTTCTGTCCAAAGGCAATGGTACGGACCAATCGAGCCACAGTAGGAGGCTTTTTCCTGGCTGGCAGAAGTATGGTGTGGTGGCCAGTAAGTAAATGGGATCAATATGGAGGATGACTGTGCTTTAAACCTTAAAAACATTTTGTTTTGTACTCAGAATGTGATGGACATTGACAAAATTACATGGCTTGATCATATACTACATCAATCAATCAGTGTGCCAAATGTGGTGAATTTCTGTGGTAATGTGCTACGCATTTTGTATCTGTGCTTATTATGTATCTATCAATAGCATGACGAGTGATTTCACATTATCACAGATATGGAATGATAATGACCCTAACTGCCCCTCAATTTCAGAATCTTGATATCATGATAGGGTGAATGAAATCTTTTATGGAGCCATAATGCACTGATGCCAGATGCGACCCACAATTCATTACAGCTGAAAGTACTGATATGGTTTGCTCATGCAAGTTTTATGGAGCTGTCAGGCTTTGGTCCATGCTAAAGTTATCACCTTAAATCAAATTGTGAAGGTTTTCATTTGTTATTATGAAGTTTATTGTTCCAGTCGTTATTGTTTGAGTTACACCTCAGGCTGTGTAGAAGCAGTGGTTTTTATAGCTTATGGTGATTGCCAGATATAGTCAAAAAGTAGACAGAGTTCATACCCAGGTGAAAAATAAGTACTCCGTATTAAAAATGTGCTTGAATCTCAGATAGTATATTTATAGTACAATTGTACTTCCAAATTGCTTACTTGAAGTGCATTAAAATGTACTGAATTGAATTTTAATAGAAGTACTTTGGTATCAGAAATATGATAAAATACAAACATACTTTTTGTGACATTTTAGTGTATTTACAGAATACATACTTATTTTACTTTTATTTAAAGAATATTTTACGTTTCCTTTGTGTAAGAACATAAAATGATTCAGCTTTTAATGGGTTTAAAGTATCTTATTTATGACCATATTTAGACCTATTGCAATATATTTTAAATATTTATGTAATGAACATGTGCTTCAGCCTGCTTTTCAAAAGATCTTAATTTTTAAAAACATTTTAATATATTTTTTAAAGTATATTAATTCACTCACATATTTACATTACAGCTATAAAATATGCTATTTTACTTTTATTTAAAGAATATTTTACGTTTCCTTTGTGTAAGAACATAAAATGATTCAGCTTTTAATGGGTTTAAAGTATCTTATTTATGACCATATTTAGACCTATTGCAATATATTTTAAATATTTATGTAATGAACGTGCTTCAGCCTGCTTTTCAAAAGATCTTAATTTTTAAAAACATTTTTATATATTTTTTAAAGTATATTAATTCACTCACATATTTACATTACAGCTATAAAATATGCAAGTGCATTCTTACATTGTACCAACTTATGTATTAGAAATATCATTTTGTCAACTATGCCATAGTAATAAGCATACTTAAAATCAATGTTGTGCTGTTTTACCTATTTGTACATGTAAAGGAATACTTAAAAGGCTGTTTTGTAATACAATTAAAATAAAATACATATTTACTTACCTTTTAAATACATAACAATACATTCATTATAATAAGCTTCTATTATACAAATAAGGTACTACTATCCAAAAGCATTTCAACATCGTATAATTTGAAGTGCATCGTAAATTATTTTTCCAAAGATATGCTTAAAATCCCTATTTATTTACCTACTTAAACAAGCTCAACCTACCGCACGATACACGCAAACTAACCTCACTGGCTTTTGTGGGAACTCAGGCGTACATGCATAACACGTGTTACCAAATCTGATTGGTTCATGCACACATCAAGCAAGCACGTCCATGCTTCCTTTGACCAATTCTGAATGTGTGTATGTGTGTTAATTTATGTGAATAAAACTCTAATTCTGTTAAGTTCTATAGAGCGATTGTGTCTCTTCAGAGGACTTGGAAGAAACCACTTGATTCATATGGATTACTGTTGCGATGTTTTTGTGTGCGATGAACATTTTGGTGACTTTTAGCGGAAGGACATACATCTGTCAGATTTCATTCAAATATCTCAGTTTTTGTTTTGAAGATGAACTATTAAATTAAAGCTGTAGTCCGAACTTATTTTTTTGGTTAAAAATGATCCGAAATCAAAATTTGAGCAAGTACATAAGCCAGTGTTCAAAACTATCGCCTTACTTTAGTCGTTTTCACAACGGTTAGCTGATAATAATGTTTTTTTTTTATTTGAGCGGTACTGGTAGGAATTCGCGGGAAATTCGAGCATGCCGCCATATTACGTCACGTCTGTAAACAAAGAAGTTGTCCCAGCTAGTAGGCTACTGTGTATCGCGTGTGTCGATCCTGCAGGTGGTGGATCGACGCTTGCTTGCTTTAAGGCACAATATGTAATTTTTGCCTGGAGGGCGCATATTCAAAATAAACAAAGAGACAAAGGCGTAGTTTGATCCCCACAGCCGAAGCAATCCGACGGGACTCGGGCAGAAATCATGTTCATGGATGAGCTAATGATTTATTAACGCAGTAGAATGAAGCAGGGTGAGGCTGAAAGCCGTCGAAGCGAAACAAGGCCGCTGAACGAGCGAGACGCACGGTTCGAAAGCAGAGGAGCTTTTATTATGCCACAGTCGACCGCTTCCGCTCTTTCTGGTCGTGCGTATGTGGGGTAAAGCAGCGCTGTTTTATCATACTAGATACATTTGAAAGTTCTATTATAATGCTACTCTGTGCGGTCGTCACCGGTCTAATAAAACACACAACATATTAAAGCGTCTTTGGTGTTTCCATGTTTTCACGGAAATCGAGAGGTTATGACGTCATTGGCAGGCGACACAATGACACTATGGACACGGTCCGTGTCACTAGTTAAAATTGCTTATTTCTCTGGATTTAAACATTCTTCGAAACATTTGGGATAATGTAAGTACACAAGTCAGCAAAATATATAACACTGTTCTAGTGGTTTTTGGATATTTTAATAAAAAAATCTTACATATTGTGCTTTTAAATCAATCTATTGTATAGAGCATATAAATGAATGTGACGTGATGCTATGATCAGATGCTTTCTTAACTGCTGTTTGCATTTTTGATATGGGTTTATTTTGTTATTGAAAAGAAAGCGTGTAGCCCATATTTATATATTCCCCTAAACGCCGCTCTCAACAGCGGTTCAGCTGGTTCATTCAAGTTTCACAACCTTATTGCCTTTTTGTTTGTTTTCTAATACATATGTCTAATTATACAGTAGGTACAAAGATTAAACTGTAAAAAGGGATTTATGAGAGAAGACATCAGGCTGAGAAGGTTTTGGTTATATTACCCACCAGGTATTGTACTGTATATATATATATATTGTTTTCAGATCAGCTGCTGTTGCAATAAAAGACAAACTGAACTCAGATCAGAGATGAGCAAGGAAGAGAGTAGTAAGTATGTTTTAATCTCATATCAATGAATCTCAAAGGTTTAATTCTGGCTGTGACTATTGGGCTCATGCTAACTTTAGATTCAGCAACTTTGTTGTAGAGGTTTTGAAATCTGACCTAACGGAGGGTGAAAAAAAACCTCCAAAACAAACTAAAAAAAAAACTTAAAAAAACAATATCTGTGGCTTTGGGCTTGAACTTTGTTTACCGTAAGCAGTGTTGTTGGGCCTCTTCTAACCTTATGTTCAGTGTCACAGAGTGCTGTATAGTGATGACAGACAAGAGGATAAAAATGGACACTCGTGTCAAGTTGATGAGGATGTAGTCAAAGCTTTGAAATGTAAACAAACAGAAAGTCAGATAAATTCTAATGCATATTTAAGCAAATGATTCAAAAACACTGCTCAAAAACACTAACTAATTATTTTTCCTTTCACAGACCCTGCGATGAAGAAGTTTTCAAATTCAACAGTGGATGAAAAAATAAAAACTTGCACTTTGTGCACTTCTGTGCTTCATTTATTTATTTTTTCAGTAACTTCAGTTTTGTGTGTGTGTGTGTGTTCAAAAATGTGCATTGTGATGCATTTTTATTCACTGATGGAATATTCATAATGTACTTTCCCATAATACAGGTATAACTGGATTGTTCTACAAATTCTACAAGTAGTTCTGTCAAATCATTTGACTAATCTTTATTTTAATTTATTATAATTATTTTGGTCAAGAGTTTATATATGCTGCTGTACTTTTTAAATGTACTCAATGAGTGTAATGTGTAATTTGTTGTAATGTACACAACAAGGTACATTAAAAATGTTGTAGATGTAAGTGTGTGTCATTTTTATTGGATGTTTTTTGCACTTAATATACCATTTTGAATGCTGAAAAATTAATAGTGGCTCTTGTAGTGTACTGGCAGTGTTGGGGAGTAACTAGTTACATGTAACGGCGTTACGTAATTTAATTACAAAATAAATGTAACTGTAATCAGTTACAGTTACTATGTATAGGCAATTTAGAAAGTACAGTTTTGTTAAATCTTGAGTATTAAAGTCATGAGAGAGATAGATATCAGGGCAAAATAAAGAGAGTGAAAAGAAAAATGGAAGCGAAGGTGCAGTTCAGGAGACAACTTTAAATTATTTTGCATGTCCCCATCCTAAGGATTTAATCCTTTTTTTATGTGAGGTCCATACAAAAAATAGGGTTGTCCGTGTTTCAGAATTTGTTGTGGGTGTATGAGTGTGAGATTTCCCGGCCTGGAATTTTTTTTCCCAGTCTGCCCCTCGTGGAAACGAATGGCTCAGACATGCGGTTTCATTTAATACACATAGGCCTACTGAAGCTCGCAGTGTTTTCAGCCTCTGTCGCCTCTATATATATATGTTTTGTTTTGTGAGTCTTCTCCTCCCATTTCTACCAGTGATGGTTGTTTGCATCCCGCGCTACTACCTGGGCAGATCAACAGCACCACTGGGTTTTAGATTGCCAAGTTGAGCTCACAAATGGGTTGAAATTTGTATGATGTGTCGATTGTGAGAGAAGGAAGCATTTCATACAAGATCTGGCAACTGGACAACCTTAGAATATGTTGACATGATTGATTCATATAATGAGGTTTGGGTCATAAAAAATACAGGAG